GGAAGCACAGCAGCCCCCGCCCCATTCCCGTGTGGACACGGGCGGTCGGTCCTGGCGGGGCGGCTCTCTCTCAGGCGCCCAGAGACCCGCTGGTCCCGCTCTGACTTGGACGTCGCTGGGCAGCTTCTCCCCGTCCCCCCGCGTCCCCCCGCGGCGGTTCCGAGGGTCCTGCGAGCTCACTGTGGCCCAGTTGTGGGATGCTGCTTGGTGGGCGCCACGTCGGCTGTCCCTGTGGTCATCAGGGAGTCAGCCCTGCCTGTGGCCTTGGGCAGGGAGCCCACCCACGGCCGTGTCTCGCTTCTGGCTCCCAGAACCCTCTGCCCAGCTCGGTCGCCAGCGCCATCACTGGACAGCTGCAGGCCTACAGTGACGCCTGCGAGGCGCTGTCTGTCACCGAAGTCGCCCTGGGCTTTCTCAGCACCGCCGGCGGGGATCCCAGCATGCACCTGAACGTATACACGCAGGACGTCCTGCGCATGGCCGGGCAGTCGGCTCTCGTGGTGAAGGTGGGTCCTGCGGGGGCCAGGGACAGTGCCGCCCACGGGACAGCGCCACCCACGGGACACCCGCCCATGGGACGCCCGCCCATGGGACACCCCCACCCACGGGACACCCACCCACGGGACGCCCGCCCACGGGACACCCCCACCCATGGGACACCCCCACCCATGGGACGCCCGCCCATGGGACATCCGCCCACGGGACAGCGCCCACGGGACACCCCCCGCCCATGGGATGCCCGCCCGCGGGACACCCCCACCCACGGGACACTGCTGCCCACAAGATGCCCGCCCACGGGACACCCACCCACGGGACACCCCTGCCCACAGGACACCCCCGCCCACGGGACACCCCCACCCATGGGACACCCGCCCATGGGACACCCCCACCCACGGGATGCCCACCCACGGGACATCCACCCACAGGACAGCGCCCACGGGACGCCCGCCCCGTTTGGTGGCAGAGGCAGGGGCCCCAGTCCAGCTGGTCCCCAGCGCGACAGGAGGGTTAGGACGGGCGTGCGCGCCAAACGCTGACCGTCCAGAGGGAGCTCTGAGGACACAGGCCACAGCACGCGCCCGGGCGGGAGAGGCGGCGAATGAGAGGCTGGGGCGGAGGCGGCGTCAGAGCGAGGGCGGCCGTGGCAGGCGGGGTGGGGCCTCCGCCTCCCCTCCCCCCTCAGGGAGTCCCTTCCTCCTGCAGGCCCTGAGCGGGTGCCAGCTGAAACACACCGTCGCCCTGTGGCAGCTGCTGTCCGCTCACAGGTCCGAGCAGCTGCTGCGCCTGAAGAGGGTAAGCCTGGCCCCGCCCCCGCCCCCCGCAGGGCGCCCCCGCCCTCAGGCTGCAGCGCAGTCCTCTGCCCTCACTGCAGGACCCGTTCGGGGACCTCAGCCCGCGGTACAAAGAGGACCTCAGCCCGGAGGACGCCAGGCTCCTGCGCGCGTTCCTGAAGCAGCCCGGCCTGGACGCCTTCCTCCTGGAGCTGCACGAGATGATGGTGCTGAAACTCGGGGGCCTGCAGCCCGCGGACGGCTTCAACCCCGCCTGGAGGTGAGCGCCGCCCGCCCTGCTGCTCCGGCTGCTCCGGCTGCTCCTGCCCCGCCCCTGCCCCCGCCCCACCCCCTCCTGCCCTGTCCTGCACCTGCCCCACCCCGCCTCTGTCCTGCTCCCTGCCCCGCCCCTGTCCCCCACCCCCCCTTCCTGCCCTGTCCTGCACCTGCCCCACCCCGCCTCTGTCCTGCTCCCTGCCCCGCCCCTGCCCCCCCCGCCCTGCTCCCTGCCCCCCCGTCCCGCCCCTGCTTCTGCTCCGCCCCTGCCCCGCCCCACCCCTCGCCCAGCTCCCTGCCCCGCCCCTGCCCCCTGCCCCCTGCCCCGCCCATGCCCGTCCCTGCTGGCTCTGCGGTTGCTGTCTATTGAGCTCTCTAAGGGTTAGAAGAGTCACATATCCTCACACTGACGAGGGCACCTGTGCTGTCAAAGGGACGGGCGTTTGGAAGTTATTAAATTTGAAAGGCGGAGAGGGAGGTCTTCCATCTGGCAGCTCACTCTCCAAGTGCCACAGCAGCCAAGGGCTGGGCCAGGCCAAAACTGGGGGCCAGGAGCGCAGTCCACATGGGTCTCCCACGTGCGTGGCGGGGACCCAGACACGGGAGCCATGACCTGCTGCCCCCTGGGGTGCACGTGGGCAGGAAGCCAGAAGGGAGGGCAGAGTCAGGACTTGAACCCAGGACACAGAGGTCCCGAATGGCGGCTAAGCCACTCCAACACAGGCTACCCTGAGGCGTGCGGTTTTTTTAAAGATTTATTTATTTGACAGGCAGAGTTAGAGAGAGTCAGAGAGAGAGAGAGAGAGAGAGAGAGGTCTTCCATCCGCTGGGTCACTCCCCAAGTGGCTGCAATGGCCACAGCTGAGCCAGGCTGAAGATGGAGCCAGAAACTCCATCCAGGTCTCCCCCTGGGTGCAGGGACCCAAGCACTCAGGCCATCTTCTGCTGCTTTCCCAGGCCACAGCAGGGAGCTGGACCAGAACCGGGACACGAGCCGGGGCCCCTGTGGGATGCCAGCATCGCAGGCGGCAGCCTGACCCTGCACACCACAACACCGGCCCCTACTTTCACTATTTTTAATAAAAAAGCATGGGCCAGTGCTGTGGCATAACGGGCTAAGCCTCCGCCTGCAGTGCCGGCATCCCATATGGGCGCCGGTTTGAGTCCTGGCTGCTCCACTTCCCACCCAGCTCTCTGCTGTGGCCTGGGAAAGCAGTAGAAGATGGCCTGAGTGCTTGGGCCCCTGCACCCACGTGGGAGACCCTGAAGAAGCTCCTGGCTCCTGGCTTCGGACTGGCCCGGCTCTGGCCGTTGCAGCCATCTGGGGAGGGATGGAAGACCTCTGTCTCTCCCTCTCTCTGGCTGTCTCTCAAAAAAATAAATCTTTGAGGCAGACTGCAGAGTTGCCCTACACCGCGCACTTGCTGCTTCTGCGCGCACGGGCTGTGGATCAGGTCTTTCTCCCTGGACTTGGAGTTTGCAATCCGGGTCCCCACAGGGCGCTTCAGGAAGGCTGTGAGAGGGGGATGAGGAGAGAAGTTTGTCTTGGTGCAAACACTGAGGTCCCTGCACAGTTTCTTCATACCGTGCGCTCTCCATGAACTCATTGAAGACACGCACATACATGGATCTAAGACATTTTTGCACTAAAATAAACTTGTTTTAGCTTTGTTTGAACTTTCTGAAATCGCCCCATGTAAACAGGAAGTGGGGTGCGTGGTCCTGAGTCACGTGACTGGTGGGCCCTGGCCGCCGGGTTCCAGTCTCAGGGGCGCGGGGCCCTGCGGCAGGGAAGGCGGCTGAGCGCTGCCCTGGCCCCTTCGTGTTGCAGCCTGAGAGACACCCTGCTGTGCTACCTGGACGCCAAGGAGAGCGAGCTCCCGGCGGTGGAGGCGCAGTTCCCGGAGCAGATCCTGCTGTCCAGCTGCGTCGCCGTGTGGAAGGCGGCCGCCGCGCTCAAGCAGGAGCGCCAGCTGCAGTAGAGCCGCCCGGGCCGTGGTGAGCGCCAGCGTGAGCGCCGGAGCCCCTCGGTGAGCGCCAGCGTGAGCGGCGGAGCCCCTCGGTGAGCCACGGCGGGAGTGACGGATGACGTCGGGAGTGATGGATGACGTCGGGAGTGACGGATGACGTCGTGAGTGATGGATGACGGGCCCCTGCGTGGGCCGGGCCTCAGGGAGCGCTCAGGAGGCCGTGGCCACAGCGCGCCACGTGCGCCACCCTTTCTGGAACGCGTTCCGGCACTTTCCGCGTTGTGCGTGCTGTTCACGAGGGGCTGAGACGACGGGGAGCAGGGAAGCGGCGCCGCCCTTTATCGCAGGAGAGGAACGCGGTCGCCCCTCGCGGTCGCCCCTCGGCCTCGCACCCAGGACGGGGCTGTCCCCAGCCTGGGGACGCGGCCACCGAGCCCTCCGTCCGGGAGGGAGGGGACGCCCCGGCGACTCGGCTTTCCTGCCTCACTGCACTCACGGAGAGAAGCGGGTTCCTGCCTCGGCCCCGCCCCTCACCTGGGCGCTGGGCGCTGGGCGCGCATCCCTGTTCCCAGAAGGCGAGAAACTGCCAGGCTCCTCGTCTTCACACAAATTCCGGGCGAGCCGGGAGCCTCTGGGAGGAGCCGCGGCCGGATTCCCGGGGGCCCAGCCCCAAGCTGTCGGGACGCTGCCAGGGTCTCCGTCTCCCCACGTGGCTGGGGCTTTGAAAAGTGCCTGGAAAACGTGGGTTATGTCTGTGGGCTGCAGCATTTTTTGTGCCAAAGTGTATTTTTAACTCCTTCTTCCACGGACTTTTTGAAGTCTCCCCGGACCTAAGGGCACGGATCAATGGCCAGAGCGCCCCCCGGTGTCGGGTCTGAAAGTGCCGCGTGGGGGCCGCGTGTGAGGAGCTGAGGCGCAGCCCCTGCGGGGTCGCGGCCAGGGCGTCAGCTGAGGCCAGGGCGGCCTCTGTCCCAGCATCGCCCGAGCTGGTGCTGTCCTAAGGGTCACCTTCCTCCCCCGCCCCCGGCCCGCGTGGAGCTCGGCACCTGTCAGCGGCGTAGCGCAGGTCGGGGGCCACGGCTTCCACCCTCATTCAAGGGAGTTCGTGACTCGGCCTGAATCGGGCCCCTGGGAGACGCCAGCTGAGAACCGGCCACAGACTCCGGCGGGTCCGACCCCGGGGAGAAGCTCCCTCAGTGCCCCCTCGTGTTGGGGTGCCCGACGCGGCCTGAGCCCAGCCACGCCCCACAGACCCGGCCTCCGCCTGTCCCTCTGCCTGGAACTCCTTGGCTACCTCAGCGCTGGGGTGCAGCTGGGCCTGGGCGCCCACCCCACCTCCTCACCGCCCATGCCTTAGCGGGGGTGGGGAGGTCAGGCGCCAGTCTCGTTCCTTCCCTCTGCCCCCCGTTACGGGTTTCCAGTTAAAATGCTTGCAAAGCCTTAGTGTCGCCTTGTTAGTGGGAGCACGCAGCCTAGCACAGGCGGTGGGTTCCACTGTCCCCGCATCCTGTTTTAATAAACCCGCGTTGGTTCTGCTCAAAGACTCCTCCCTGGGGCAGCGCCTCCGCGGCACGCAGGCACCAGCGAGGCTTCTGGGAGTGGTTGTGGTTCCTGCTGACGTGTCCGTGACGCAGAAGGTTCCGGCGCTGTGGCTCAGCAGGTGAGGGGGAGCCCGTGCCTGTGGACGAGACGGCAGAGCTGCGGCCCACGTGGGGCTGGCACGGACGCGGCCCGCGGGGCCCCACCTAAGCGATGTCACCACAGACAGCGCGACCCTGCTGCCCATGGCAAGGCCCCAGTCTCTCAGCTGCGGTGTGCGGAGAAGCTCCCGGCCACAGGCAGCAGAGGCAGCGGGAGGGGAGCCGGGGCCCTTCAGCGGCCCACCCAGTGCGTCAGGAACACCACGGGTAGCGAGGTGGCGCACGCCGCCTGCCCCGGCCCTCATCCTCCCTCCCATGGAGGTCCGTTCTCCGGACGTCACCCTAGAGCCCGCTCCCTGCCCGGAAATCCGCACAGCTGGTCATAGTCTCCTGTAAGAGGTCCCCGCGGGGCCGGGGCCGGGGCCGGGGCCGGGGCCGGGGCCGTGGTGCGGCCGAGCTAACGCCTCTGATGCCGGCGCCCCACATCCGAGTGCCCTCTGCTTCCAGTCCAGTTCCTGGGGTCAAGCGCCTGTGTCGCTGCCGCCCACATGGGAGACCTGGGCTCCTGGCCTGGGCCTGGCCCCAGTCCTGGCTGAGTTGGGGAGTGAACCAGCGGATGAAAGATCCGTTATCTCCCAGGCAGATGAGGGTGAGTGAGCATCTGGGAAAGACCTCACTGTGTCTGCTTTCTTCTTTTTACTATTTTATTTATACGAGTTACAGAGAGAGGTCGAGAGAGAGAGAGAGGTCGAGAGAGAGAGAGAGGGAGGTCTTCCATCCACTGGTTCACTCCCCACATGACTGCAATGGCCACAGCTGAGCTGATCTGAAGCCAGGAGCCTTTTCCAGGTCTCCCACGTGGGTGCAGGGGCCTAAGGACTTGGGCCACCTTCTACTGCTTTCCCAGGCCACAGCAGAGATCTGGGTCAAAGTGGAGCAGCCAGGACTTGAAGTGGCACCCTTATGGGAGGCTGGTGCCACAGACAGATCTGCCAGCTGCCACAGTGCCGGCCCTGGAGACAGACTTAGTGGTAACAAGTCACTGTTAAGCCAGCAGGTAGAGGGGCCGGCGCCATGGCTCACTCTGTTGATCCTCTGCCTGCGGCACCGGCATCCCATATAGGCGCCGGGTTCTAGTCCCGGTTGCTCCTCTTCCAGGCCAGCTCTCTGCTGTGGCCCGGGAGTGCAGTGGACGATGGCCCAAGTGCTTGAGCCCTGTACCTGTGTGGGAGACCAGAAGAGCCTGGCTCCTGGTGCAGCTCCGGCCATGGCGGCCATTTGGGGGGTGAACCAACGGAAGGAAGACCTTTCTCTCTCCCACTGTCTAACTCTATCTAAGCAGGTAGAGTGCCCAGGTGCACCCCTGCACCGCACACGTGGTCTGGGAGGCAGCTCCACTGTGTCCTCAGCTGGGCCCTGAAAGGGGAGAAGAGGAAGGCCTGAGGCCTCCGGATTCCGGCTGCGATTGGCATTCAAACTAATTTGCATTTTCCCCACCCCTCGGGGCTCATTAATTCTGCTCACACAGGAGGAATCCGGTTCCCAGCTGGAAAAACAAAGGCGGGCACCGAGGACGCCTGCTCTGCTCGCTTATTTAATTTGGGTTTGTGTATGTGTTCACTTAAAGGCAGAGTGAAGGAGCTGTTCCATCTGGGATTCACTCCAAAGGCCAGGACAGCCAGGGCTGTGCCAGGTGGGAGCCAGGAGCTCCACCCTCGGCCTCCCACGTGGGTGCAGGCGCCCAAGCCTTCCCCAGGCCACCAGCAGGAAGCTGGGTGGAGGCGGACCGGCCTGAGCCACAGAACCAGCTGCCTGCTCGCCTCGGAGCACGAGGGAGTGTCCTGGAAAGACATCAGGGGCCAGGGCGGCCATCAGGGCCCCTGCTGGGCACGGGCTGCCCTGCCCGGAGACCCTGGCCCCTGCCTTCACACCTGCACTCAGGGGAGGGTTAGCCCCAGTAGCTCTCCGGTAGCTCAGGCCGCGAGGGACTGAGTGACCACACCTGAGGGCCCCTGGGTCCTGGCCACTCTGTAACAACAAAGTGGGCACAGACCACCCAGCGGGGCCTCTGGGAGCCCCGTGGCTCCCAGTCCCAGCCCAGCGACCTTGGGCGAGGTGCTCAGCCTCCTGCAGGCTCCGGGGAGGGGCAGTGTGGATCACCGGGACCTGCGTGGCGGCACAGTCAGTTACGCTGCCACCTGCGGCGCGGGTTCGAGTCCCGGTTCCCTGCTGATGTGCTGGGAGGTCAGTGGAGGAGGCCCGGGTGCTTGGGCCCCTGCACCCGCGTGGGAGACCCGGATGGAGCTCCTGGCTGCATCTGGGGAGTGAACAGCGGATGGAAGACCTCTCTCTCTCTCTCCCTGCCTCTCCTCTCTCTTTCCAATAAATAAATAAATCTTGTTGATCACTGACGCGCCGGGAAGCCACGAGACGAAGCCGTGACCCCAGCGCCCGGCTCGGCGTCGGCCCCACGGGGGCGCCGGGCTCATTCAACCGAGGAGCTCGGGCCGGGTCTGCCAGCTCCAGACGCGCCCCACTTCCCTCGGCGCGCGAGGGTCCCTGCGCAGCAAGATCCGGCCCCGGTGAGCCGCGCGCAGGGAGACCCGGGGCCCCGGGGGCCACCGAGGCCGGGAGCCGCGGCTGGCTGTCGTTGCTCTGAGGGAGCGGGGTCCAGCCGGAGCCAGAGGGGCTGCCCGGCGCGCTCCCCACAGGGCCTGGGGCCGCCAGGGGCACAGCCGAGGCGGCGGCGACAGGGACGCCGGGTGGGACGGGCGGCCGGATCGGCGGTCCGGCGGCTGCTCTCGCTGGCCACGGCCCCGGCCGTCCGCGGCGAACAGATCCAGGCCACATGGCGCGCAGGGTCGCCTCGGGGCCGGAGGCGTGCGTGTGCGGCCGCACAGGGCCCCGCGTTCACGCCACGAAAGTCCCGGCACCGCGGCGCCATGACAACGAGGAAGGCGGCGCCTGCGCGGGGGCACCGGAAGTGACGTTTCCGGAAGGGCGACCGGGGCCCAGCCATGGCCCAGAAGGCGGCGGAGCGGCCCCCGGAAGAAACCCTGCTGCTCTGGAAACGGTACTGGGATCCGGGAGACGCGGGCGCGGGGCCGGGGCCACGCTGCTGTCCGCCGGCGCTCGGACCCTGTATCCCTGGCTGTGGCGTTGGCGCGGCCGGAACGCGAGCGGCCGAGGCTGGGAACCGCTTCCGGCGCCAGGGCGAAAGGGCCTTCGGGAGTTGTAGTCCGCCGGCGGCGTGGTTCCCGCTTCCGGCCCCGCGTGTCCGGGGCGCGCGTGGGCGGGGTCCGCTGGCGCCTCGCGGTGCGGTGCGGCGGGGCAGGCCCCGCTTTGGGTGGGAGGGAGGTCGCGCGGAGGGGAGCGCGGGGTTGGCAGTGGCCGCGGCCCGCTGTGACCCGTCCGCCCCCCTAGGGAGCAGGCCCGGCTGCGGGCCCGCGTCGTCGACCGGGACACGGAGGCGTGGCAGCGGGACCCCGGCTTCTCGGGGCTGCGGAGGGTCGGGGGCGCCGACGTGTCCTTCGTGAAAGGGGACAGCGCCAGCGCCTGCGCGTCCCTGGTGGTGCTCAGCTTCCCCGAGCTCCAGGTAACCGGGCGGCGCAGCCCCAGGGCCCGGACCCTCGCCGGCCCGGCCCGGCGTGGCGTGGCCGGGGGCCTCTGAGTGGCAGAGACACGAAGGGCATCCTCTGATGGTCAAGGCTCCACCTCCTGGTCTTTGCCTGCGTCTGGCGTGGTCAAGGCTCCTCACCCCGGAGGCGGCGGCAGCACACCCCTGGGTGCCCCCGCTGGGAAGGACCCCTGCCTTCCCCTCACGCCCACCAGCATCCGTCCCCTGGGCACAGCCCCCTGCCCTGCAGAGCGCTGTCCCTGGAAAGCCAGGGGTTACCAGGGGTCGGGTCACGTGGTGAATGCCCTGCGGCCCTAACCCTGCGGGCTCAGCGCCCAGCACCGGCGCCCGCCCTCCCCCTGCTCGGCCACTCGGGTCTGGCTGCCCGGTCTTTCCCCAGCTTTGCTCTTCCATCACGTGGCCGACGCCTGCCCACCCCCCACCGCCCGGTGTGGGCCAGGAGCCCCCCTCTCGGTTCCCTCCCCGGTCAGCTCGGGGTGCCAGCATGGTCAGTGGTGAGGGCCTCGGCCAGGTGGCCCTGTCAGCTTCGTGCTGTGGCCTCGCGTGACCTGGTCACCTCCCCAAGGCCCCGTCACAGTGCCGTCACCGTGGGTTAGCAGGCCAGCGTGTGGATTTGGAGCGGACACGGGCGCTCAGACCGGAGCCGTCGGAGTCCCCTTGGCCGCACCGGCAGGAGCCACGTCGGCACCTCCAGTGGCCTTGGCACCAGCCGCACCCCCGCGCAGCCGACCTCGAGTCTTGTGCACACGGGTGCGTGCGCCGGGCCTCTGCTGCCCCCGGCTGCGTGCCCCCTCATCCATCACGGCCTGCTCCTGAGACAGCAGGACACCCCCGCCCCCGCCCCGGGGCTCTGAGCTCTGCGTGGAAGGACCCCTCCCATGCAGTCAGCCCGAATGTGCAGGGCCCCTACCTTGGGGGAGGAGCCGCCCGGCTGTGGGCGGGCCCCAGCGCTGCCCCCTCCCCCAGGCCCTGGCCTTGGCCTCAGCCTCCTTGTTCTAGCTCGGAGGTGACAGTAGTGTTAACGCCCAGCTGACAGGCTCTGCTCGGGAGTAGGTCACGCGTGGAGGCAGTGAGCCCCTCTGTGAACGCCAAACCCACTGAGCTACACACCTGGAGCCGCGATGTCCGTGGAGTCCACGGTGCACTTCAGTAAAGCTCTTAGAAACTGCGCGTGGGCAGGGCCGGCATTGTGGCAAAGCCAGTGAAGCCGCTGCCCCTGGCGCTGGCGTCCCACATGGGTGCCTTTTCGAGTCCTGGCTGCTCCGCTTCCAATCCAGCTCTCTGCTAATTTTCTGGAAAAAGCAGTAGAAGATGGCCCACATCCTTGGGCCCGTGCAGCCCACATGGGAGACCTGGAGGAAGCTCCTGGCTTCGGGCTGGCCCAGCTCTGGTCATTGCAGCCCTCTGGGGAGTGAACCAGCAGGTGGAAGATCTCTCTCTCTGTCTCTCCCTCTCTCCGTAGCTCTTCCAAGTGAAATAAAATAAATCTTAAAGCAGGAGCGAACGCACAGACATACTTCTGGAAAGCAGCTCCGCGTTCTGTCTCAGGCCAGGCGAGCTCCAGGCCCTCGGCCTGCTGGTGGTGCCCAGGGACGGCGCCCAGAGTTGAGTGCGGCAGCTGGGCTGAGTTCGGCGCCCCCTGGCCCCCACACACACTCCCAGGCTTGGGTGGCACCGGCTCCCAGCCCTGGCGCCCACGCCGCCGGACGTGCAAATGTCCTGAAAAATTGAAAAGAAAACGTTGCGTGCCTAGATAGCTTCCAGTGACGCAGCTGTTGCTGATTTTGTCATGTGTGCGTGTGCATGCGTGTGTCCAGGGTGGTGGCAGCGCCCCCCCCCGCCCGGCCATCAGCTCCTGAGAGTGACATTGTCCTATGTAACGGCAGTGTCGGAGTCGCACCTGCATAAAGCCATCAGCCGCCCCCCGCGGCACATGTCCTCACGATGCATTCCTGCCGTGTCTGGGAGCCCCGTGGTGGTGGGGCTGCTGGGGCTGGGTCGGGCTCCAGAGGTGTGGAGCCGGCTGGGCCCAGGGATCCGGCTGGGCTGCGGGGGTCCGGCCCGTCTCCTGCCCGTCCCCAGGCGTGGGCAATGGGGTTTCCCTCCTCTTCTCGTTGGCCTCTCAGGCCGGGAGCATTAGTAGCCACCGTCACCTGTGGGGACTCCGGCCGCACCCGAGCCCCACGCGTGTCCTGCACACAGTGCTCCACCTGCCGTGTTCACCGTGAACCCGGATTGCCCTGTCTGCCGTTGGATCGGACCCTCCGCACAGGGGGGCGTCGGCACATGGGATACGTTCCCCACTGAGTCGTTGGCAAGCGTGTTGGGAGCTCCAGGCCGGTACGGGGGCAGCTCAGGTGAGCCGCCCGCCTGTCCTCAGGGGCGTCCAGCTGCTGACCAGGTCCCACAGGAGCCGTGCGAGTTGTGATTTGAAAGCCAAGAGATTGGGGCAACTCAGTAACGGAAATGTGGGAACATGGAAGGTTCTGGAGAACGTGGCTCCACATTCGGGCAGCCGGACCCTGATGCGAACCCTGGGGTTGGAGCCCCGGGCTCTGCGCAGGTCCCTCTTCGTGCTGCAAGCAGCCAGTGCCGGGGCCTCCCTCGTCCCTGACGCTGTGGCTGAGGCTCTGCCAGAGAGGCCCTGGGAAGGACCCGCCCTGCTGAGTCCTCTCTGGTCGTCCCGGCCAACCCCGCGGCCGCCTCTGCCCCTCCACTGCCCCCTGTCTGCACAAGGCCTCCAAGTCGTTGCACCTGCTGTTGAGGGGGGGGGGCTCACGTGGCTGCAGCTGCCCCCCTCCTCCTGTTCCAGGGTCATCCGCAGCCTGGGGTTTACTTTTCGAGCTCCCCCATCCCCTGGGACCCTGTTCCCTTGCCGAGTCTCCGGCTCTGAGAGTGCACCTGCCGCACCTGCCGTCTCCCTGAAGCCAGTGCGGCCGCCCTTGCCCTGGGGGCCTCTGCGCGGGCGGAGCCTCTTCCCCCGATGGGCAGAAGCACCAGAGTGCAGCGCTGTCCTGCTCCACTGGGCTCCAGCGCCCTGTGCAGGCGGGGCAGGGCGGGGTGGGCGGGGCTGACCCTGGCCAAGCTCCTGACAGAGACCTGGCCCAGGTGGGCACCCTTGGGAGGACGTGGAGTTGAAGCCCCACAGCTGGTGCGAGGGCAGGTCATGTGTCCCTCTCAGTCCTGTCCCCTGCACCTCCCGCCCCTGGGTGAGGCACGGCGGGGGCCCAGGGAGAAGTTCTGGGCTCGGGAGGAGGAGGGGCCAGTGGCCGAGGGCCGCCTGCTGACCGGCGCGCCCACACCCACGCCTGGGGCAGGTGGTGTACGAGGAGAGCCGCATGGTCCGCCTGACCGCCCCCTACGTGTCCGGCTTCCTGGCCTTCCGAGAGGCGCCCTTCCTGGTGGACGCGGTGCAGCGGCTGCGGGAGAAGCAGCCCGACCTCATGCCCCAGGCAGGTGCCTGTCCCCAGGGTGGGGGAGGGCCCTCCGCTTCCCCCCACCCGGGAGGGGGCAGCCCCTACAGAGCACGTGAGCTTCCTGGAGGAGATGCAGGACCCTGGCTAAGGGGCGAGCGCCGCTCAGCTGACCATGACCCCCCTGTGGTCTGCAGGTCCTTCTCGTGGATGGGAACGGGGTGCTCCACCACCAAGGTAACCCCCCAGGACGGCCCCCTCACGCTGGCCCCGGAGCCTCTGCCTCCTGCCTGGGCTCGCTGTCGCTGTCAGGACCCGCGGTGCCCCCATCCCCGCCCCTGCTGCCCACAGGGCCTGCAGTGGCCGGTCTCCAGCTGCCCACCCAGAGCCGGCTGGCCAGGCCCTCATCCGTGACCTGGGCAGGGGCACCTGTGCCCTGTTCCCTGGGTCCCTCCCCAGATGATAACCAGGGCTGGGCCGACACCAAAGCCGGGGACCAGGGAGTCCATCTGGGCCTCCCACACGGGAAACAGGAGCCATCACCGCTGCCGCCCAGGGTCTGAGTCAGCAGGAAGCCAGAACCGGGCGCTCGGACACGGGACGCCGTGACGCAGCCGGCGCATGGCCCACCAGGCCAGACGCCCATGGCCGACGAGCTGATCCACTCTCACAGGCAAACCTAGGGGGGCAGCGTGGCCCTGCTGGCAGGCAGGTGTGGTCAGGGCCAGCCGCTGCCCTTGGACCCGCCGGCTGCTGGGACCATAGGCCTGCCGTCGGCATGGAAGGAGATCCAGATCCAAAGGATAGAGCCCCAGGGGTGGCTGCCGGGGGTGAAGGGGGGCACGCCGATCTGGCTAGCCACCACCCCATACCCCATAGTCGGGACAGAGAGGCCTGGGTCTAGGAGTCTGGTCTCCACCCAGCTGCCCCCTCGGGAGACTCCGGGAGAGGCCCCGACGGCCCCTCATCCCGCACCTGTGTCCAGGCCTCCGGCCCCCTTGCTGCCACCTCCCAGCCTCCCCTCCTCTGCCCCCGGCAGGCTTCGGGGTGGCCTGTCACCTTGGCGTCCTCACTGATCTGCCCTGCATTGGGGTGGCCAAGAAACTGCTGCAGGTGGACGGGCTGGAGAAAGACGCTGCCCACAAGGAGCAGGTGAGGGGGAGGGGTGGGGCCCTGGGGTGGACGGGGCCTGGAGCCCCTGGGGGTGTTGCTGTGCCCAGGGCTCACTGACCTCCTCAGGGCCCCCCTCCTCGCCTGTTTTCCAAGCTTTTCCCTGTCTCCTAGATTCAGCTCCTGCAAGCGGGGGGAGAGGCCTTCCCTCTGATTGGAGGCTCTGGGACGGTCCTGGGAATGGTGAGTGGCCAGTCAGAGAGGCAGCGGGGCTGGCGGCAGGCTCACGCGTGCGCACCCCCCCATACATGCATGTGCACTGTGCGCACACACGGGCGTGCACATGTATACACGTGAGCACAGGTGCACTCCCACATGCTTGCACACTTACATGCACATGCAGGCACACACGTGCACACGCACGGGCGGGCACATGCCTACACACATGCACGCCACCAGCACACGCACTTGCACCTGCGTACACCAGAGCTGTCCATTCCTGCCAGGCTCCCTTGACCCCAGCTCACCTAAGAGGTCTCTGGGTCACCCTCCCTCCACCCTGCAGCAGGAGGGCCCGAGGCCTGGAAGCCCTGCCCTGACGTCCTCAGGCCCCGCCAAACTCCAGTGCCCATCAGAGACTGGGCCCCTGAGGCTGCCGGCCCAGCGCAGCCCAGCCACCGGACGCGTCCCGCAGGGCCGTGACCTCCCCTCTGTGCCGCAGGCCCTGAGGAGCCACGACCGCAGCACCAAGCCGGTGTACGTCTCTGTGGGCCACAAGGTGAGCCTGGAGACGGCCGTGCGCCTGACCCGCCACTGCTGCAGATTCCGGGTCCCGGAGCCCGTGCGCCAGGTACGGGTGTCGTGGGGGCGTGGCCTGAGCCGGCACCTGCGGCTCGCCACCCGCCCTTCACCCACTCCCCATCACCCTGGGGGTTGGGGTGCAGTGGGGACAGAAGGATCCGGGTGGAGGATGCCCATGGGCAGCACCAGGTGCTGAAGTCAGGAGAGAGCCAGGGACGTGGCCCTGTGGGACCCGTGGAGCCTGTCCTGGGGCCTGTGCCCCGTGTGTAGCCCCACGGCCTCTCTGAGCCCCCTCCCGTACCCTAACCCCATGTGGTTTGCAGAATCAGTTACGGTCAGCACGGGGTGGGGGGGGAGCCGCTGTCCTCGGGCCGGGGGGGGGGTCGCTGTCCTCGGGCGGGGGGGGCCGCTGTTCTCGGGCGGGGGTGGACGCTGTCCTTGGGCTGAGAGGGAGCCGCTGTCCTCGGGCTGGTGGGGAGGAGCCACTGTCCTGTGGGGGGAGCCGCTGTTCTCGGGCTCGGTGGGGAGGAGCCACTGTCCTGGGGGGAGCGCTATCCTCGGGCCGGGGGGGCGCTGTCCTGTGGGGGGCACTGTCCTGGGGCCGGGAGGCCCTTGCAGCGATGCTGTGGGCTCAGGACCAGCATGCGGGGTGCTCCAGGGGACGGGCGCAACAGGGCCCGAGGGTCAGCCCTCTGCTGAGTCAGCAGGGCAGTGGAGATAGAGCTGAGCGCAGGGGCCACAGCCTCCACGAGGGTCAGCAGCAGGGCAGCTGCAGGTCCAGGAGGAGGCCCACTGGGGGCGGGGCACGGTGGCCCAGGAAGTTTGGTGTGCTCGGGGGAGGTGTGGCCTGCGCCCAGGCAGCGGGTGGGACAAGTGGGTATGGCTGAGGTTGTCGGGTATTCCAGAGGCTCCCCTGAGGCCGGCTGGGTGGGCGAGCAGGTCTCCCCTGGTGCGTGCCCACGGCCTGAGCAGAGGCCGGCTCTGGGAGCCACATGGCCCAGGGCCCCCGACTCCAGTGCAGTGCCCAGGCCAGCCTGCAGGGGGCAGCCGCGGCCCGCACAGGACTCGCAGGCCTCAGCGTGGGCTCCTCCGTCTGGCCCCTCCACGTCCACAGCTTAGCTGGAGCCGAGGGTGAGTGGCCCTCAGGCCTGTGAGGGTGTCCCCGGCCCCCAGGGGGCTTTTCCTCTTCCGCTGCAGCCCACCCGTGTGGACGGGGGAGGCAAGCAGGAGATGCCCGCTCCAGGCTCTTAGCCCACGGCCAACCCTGGTCCCCCGGGAGAAGAGCCCGTGGGCAGGCGGGGTGGGTGGGCTGCCGCACTGCGGCTGTGCTGTGGGCCCCGTCCAGCAGGCCCGGCTGTCCCTGCAAGGGCATCGTCCTCTTCTGACTGCTCGCCAGTTCCTCGGACAGTGAGGCCTGGGCCCCCACCCCCGTCACAGAGCCTGCCATGCTCCTGCTGCCAGGGGGGTCGGGGGCTGCCCCCCAGAACACCCGCTGCCCGCACCCCTCCCTGTGCTGCTGGACGAGAGCCCCGTGGGGTGAGCTGTCCTGAGCCAGGGTCAGCGGCCCCAAGGCACAGTGCAGCCCCTCTGAGCCGGGCTGGGGGCCTCTGGGGCCAGGGCCGCAGGGCTCCCCGCTGCGGTAGAGCCCCGTTCCTTGTCCCACCTGCCGGGGTCCGTCCCTGTCCCTCCCTGCACCCCTCTTTGTTGTGGTAACTGCAGAGGTGAGTCGGGGTTCCAGCTGGGGAGACAGTGAACCCCGAAGTGAGGTCTTCAGAGGGCTTTGGGGATAAAACTGCACAGCCGTGCGGTCCGGCTGCCCGGGTGGCCGGAGCCCCTGCTGGCCCATCCCTGGCCGACGGCTCGGGCCTGCACGCGCTGCCTCTGCAGGCCTCAACCCTGAGGCTCGGCTTTTAAAAAAAGGACAGAGGGGCGGGGGAGAGGCACAGAGAGAGGTCTTCCCTCTGCCGTTCACCCCTGCATGGCTGCAACAGGCGGGGCCGGGCCAGGCCAAAACCAGGAGCCCGGGACTGCATGCAGGTCTCCCACGAGGGTACGGGGCCCAGGCACCAGGCCGTCTTCTGCTGGTTTCCCGGGTGCGTTAGCAGGAGCCGGGCCAGATGCAGAGCGGCTGGGGCTCGAACCGGCCCTGCGGCGTGGGTGAGACTCTCGGGCGGCAGCACCGCCGCACCGGCCCACCCCGGGGGTCTTGGCAGCCCCCTCCCCAGTACACTGACGAGGCTGCCGCTTCTGCTCCTGGGCCCCGGGCCCCGAGGGAGCCTGCAAGGGCACTGGGCATGGGCTGTTGTGCACGGGAGGGCGTGTCCGGAGCCCAGCCCCGCCCCTCACTTGGGCCCCTTCTGTCTCCTGCAGGCCGACATCCGCTCCCGGGAGCATATCCGCAGGACCCTGGGCCCCCCCGGGATGCCTGCGCCTGCGCAGGGGAGGTGAGCACCTTGGGGCCCCGTGGACCCCATGTGGGGCGTTGGTGGGGGCTGGGCCGTCCCTGCTGCAGGGCCAGGCCTGGCAGGGCACCGCTTCCGGAAGCTGCTAGGAGACCCGGGGTCCTCGCGAGGGGAGGATGGCAGTGTGGACCCCACGTCTGACGGGAACGCTCTAGGAACAACCCTGTCACACACACACAGCCCTGGGGCCAGCCCATCTCCACACAGGGCCTCTGAGCCTGCAGGGCGCCGGGTGGTGGGTGCCAAGTGGAGGGCGTGGCCTGAGGGGCCGCTGCGTGTTTTGTGCCCTCCCAGCCTCAGCTTCCTCTCGGCACCTGCAGCCACTGCGCTCTCAGCTCTCGTGCAGACCCGAGCCCCTAGCAGCCATGCGCAGGGGGGTCGGGGTGCAGGGTGTGACCCACTGCACAGGGGGGTTGGGGTATAGGGTGTGACCCACTGCACAGAGGGGTCGGGGTGCAGGGCGTGACCCACTGCACAGGGGGGTCGGGGTGCAGGGCGTGACCCACTGCACAGGGGGGTCGGGGTGCAGGGTGTGACCCACTGCCTGGAGGGAGGTCGGGGTACAGGGTGTGACCCACTGCACAGAGGGGTCGGGGTGCAGGGCGTGACCCACTGCCTGGAGGGGGTTGGGGTGCAGGGCGTGACCCACTGCACAGGGGGTTTGGGGTGCAGGGCGTGACCCACTGCACAGGGGGGTTGGGGTGCAGGGCGTGACCCACTGCCTGGAGGGAGGTCGGGGTGCAGGGCGTGACCCACTGCCTGGAGGGAGGTCGGGGTGCAGGGCGTGAACCACTGCACAGAGGGGTCGGGGGTGCAGGGCGTGACCCACTGCCCAGAGGGAAGTCGGGGGTGCAGGGCGTGACCCACTGCCCGGAGGGGTGTCGGGGTGCAGGGTGTGACCCACTGCCCGGAGGGAGGTCGGGGTGCAGGGCGTGAACCACTGCCCGGAGGGGTGTCGGGGTGCAGGGTGTGACCCACTGCCCGGAGGGGTGTCAGGGTGCAGGGTGTGACCCACTGCCTGGAGGGAGGTCGGGGTGCAGGGCGTGAACCACTGCACAGAGGGGTCGGGGTGCAGGGTGTGACCCACTGCCCGGAGGGGTGTCAGGGTGCAGGGTGTGACCCACTGCCCGGAGGGGGTCGGGGTGCAGGGCGTGACCCACTGCTTGGAGGTGGGGAGATTGGGGCGCAGGTGTGACCCACTGCCGGGGGGTGGGGGGGAGGTCAGGGCGCAGGTGTGACCCTCTGCCCAGAGGGGGAGGGAGGCCGGGGTGCAGCGAGTGGTGCAGGCTGTGCTTGGCGGGGCTCTGAGCCTCCGCACAGAGGGGGCTGCCTGGACCCTGCCTGGGTCTGTCCCACCCTCCCCAGCACTGCCCACTCTTCTTGGCTCCTCGGCCGCCTGAGCTGCTGTCAGAGCTAGGGGGATGGGTGGCTGGGACCCCCGGGTTCCCAGCGTGGGGGCTGGCCAGCCTGACTGCAGGCCGGAGCCTCGGCCAGTCTCGTCCCGCCTGGCTGTCTGGCCTGGGCCCATCGGCAGGCCCCAGGGATCCAGACCCCAGGCAGCTTCCGGGGACCACCTGGAGCGGGGCCTCGGGCCGGCTCTGGCATTGATGCTGCCCCTCTCTCAGTGTCACTGCACAGAGGCCACAGGCACATCCCGCAGGCAGCGCAGGAGAGCCTGCGGGGGAGGATGGTGCCCTGCGGACCACAGTGGAGGCCCCAGCACAGGCCTAGAGCTCCACCCCCAGGCCCCGGGAGTGGTGGAACTGGACGCCGTGAAGACCCCGCCACCCCTCTCCGGTCTCAGGACAGTGCCCGGGGCTGGTCCCTGGGGACGGTGGGGGGCTGCCCTGTACACAGGAGGCGCTCCCAGCCCCAGAGACGCTGACCACGCCGCCCCGGGGAAGCAGCAGGCACTGCCCGGCTCGTGGTGAGGTGGGGTGGGGTGGAGGAGCCGTGGCCACGGCGCCCCGGGCTGGGCCGGACCAGAAAGCAGGAGCGGCAGGGCCCCGAGCGGTGCGGGGGAGCCGGGGTCCGGTGCGTGGGTGGCCCGGCTGCCGGGACAGCATCGGCCTCTGCTCCACCGCACCTTGGACTGTGCCTCTGCGCGGGTTCACTCTTCCTGTTCTCTGTGGGGTTCATGCGTAAGCCAGACCCCCCGCCAGCCGCGCTGAGCCACCCCTGCCGCTGGGAGGGGTCCAGGCTGGGGCGGCCGCACTGGTCCGGCCCCCGTCCTGCTGTCCCACCCAGCCTGGCTGCTGAGCCGAGGCCCCGCCCCGGGCCCTGCTGCTGCCTGCTCCAGGCACACTTTGCCTCTCCGCACGCCAGAGCTGGGGGCTCACGGCGGGCGCCACCATCTGCCCGCCTTACTCCTTCCAGAGCTTTCCCACCCAGAGCTCCCTCAGGACCAGGGTGGGGGCGTGGGAAGTGCATGGCTGGCCCTGCACAGGGCTGGCGGGCTCTCCCGCCCCTGCCCACTGGCCTCTGGCGGGGCTCAGAGCTCCCTCCCGTGGGCGAGGCGTGGGAGGGGCTCGGCAGGGCGCTGGCCCCAGTGACACCTCGACGAAGGAGGCCGATCGCTTGCTGACGGCCCTCACGCTGCAAGGCCGAGCTGGCTCCCATGAGAAGGTCAGGGACACCTCCGAGCTCCCCCGAATCCCCTCGGTGCCCGCCCCGTGCCAGCAGGAGAGCCGCCTGGGCCGGGTGCCCTGTGGTGTCCCCTCCCGAGGAGCAGGCCAGGGTGGTGGCGGTCCTGCAGCGGTGTCTGCGTGGCCGTTTTGAGCCAGAACTCAGCATTTCGGCCCCTTCAGAGCTTAGTGGCTGCGCCGTCTCAGGCAGCCATGCCTGCTGCCCCCGGGAACCCTGCACCCGTCGACAGGTGCTCCCACGGTCTCTTCCCTGTGGACCCTCTGCCCGCCTCTGGTCTGGCCGTTCCAGGGACTCCTCAGTGGGCCTGGGGCGGGGCTGGTGTTTGTGGCACTGTTTCCCTCCTCCATCCATCGGCTGGTCCTGCTTGGTCGGTGTCCTTCCGTGGCTGCTGGCCGTTTGGGTGCTCGGAGCGCTCCCTTGGGTTTGTGTGTAGAGGGAGTTTCTGGGCCACACGTCGACTGTTTCTCTCTGTAGGAAACCCTAACCGTTGTCCACGTGTATCCTGGGAGAGCTCTGCTCGGGTCCTGATTGGGCTGCTCTCTGTGGCTGTGTTCGAGAGTCCTGTGTTCTGGGGATTCCATCCTTACCAGTTACATGGTTTACAAACACCTTCTCCCGTGGTTTGTGTTTTCATTTTTAAAAAAGCTCTGTTTATTTATTCAAAAGATAGAGTTACAGAGAGGCAGAGAGAGGTCTTCCATCCACTGGTTCACTCCCCAAACGGCCACAATGACTGGGGCTGGGCCAGGCCAAAGCCAGGAGCCAGGAGCTCCTTCCAGGTCTCCCACGTGGGTGCAGGGGCCCCAGCACTTGGCCCATCCTCTGCTGCTTTCCCAGGCCACAGCAGGGAGCTGGATTGGACGTGGAGCAGCGGGGATGTGAACCGGTGCCGATCTGAGATGCTGGTGCTGCAGGCGGCGGCTTTACCTGCTACACCGCAGCCGGCCGCTTGTGCTTTCCTTGTGGAAGAGCAGACAGTGAGCGGCCAGCTCTGGCGAGGGCCCCTGCCTGCGTCGCACCCTGGCGATGGCCTCCTGCGTGGTACACGGTGAGACGAAACCGGAGTCAGGCGTCCAGCAGCCCCTCCAGCCCTCAGTTCCTTCCAGGGCAGCACCCCAGGGGCCGCCCTCCGGACCCACCTCCTCCTCACCCTGCACACCCGGCACTCCCGGCCCCCACACAGCAATCCTTGGAGACACACGTGGCTCCTCCCCCGGACCACACGGATCCAGCACCATCCCATTCCGCCTCCCTGTGGCCCGGGCAGCATCGCAAAACCCAGCTGACGGCCGCTGATGCCTGGACTGTGAATTCCGTTGCCTGGGTCTTTGTGCCAGCGCCACACCGCGCCGGGTACCGTGATGTGTAAACCCAGGGGTGTCTGATGCTATTGTGGGGAGCTGAGTAACTCAGGGTGTAGAAAGACAGCAGACTCTTTAAAGATGGTTTTATCGAAAGTCGAAGTTAGAGAGAGAGGGAGAAACAGATCTTCCATTCCCCAGATGGCTGCAACGGCCAGCGCCAGGCCAGACCAAAGCCAGGAGCTTCCTCCAGGTCTCCCGCGCGGGTGCAGGGCCCATGGACTTGGGCATCTTCCACTGCTTTCCCAGGCCATAGCAGAGAGCTGGATCAGAAGTGGAGCAGCCGGGACACAAACGGTGTCCATATGGGATGTTGGCGCTGCAGGTGGCGGCTCTACCGGCTACGCCACAGCGCCGGCCCCTACAACTAAGCCCCGTATCCTGCAACCCTGCTGTGCTGTTAGCTCTAGAGTGGGGGGGGAGGGGGGGCTCTGTGAGGTCACGTCTCGTGCAGACACAGAGCTTTACTTGTGCGTCTTCCTTTCCAATGTGAATGCCTGTTTTCTTGCCTGATTGCTCTGCGAGGCTCTGGGCCACGGGCACAGTGGTGACGGTGCCATCCTGGTGTCCTGCTGTCCGTCAGGCTCGGGCACTTCCCGCCCACCCCTTCATCCTGACAGCGCTGGGTCTGGTCAGGTGGGCTTTCTGATGTCCCCCTTCCCTGAGGGGCGCTCGGCCATTGGTCTCACACTTCTGAAGCTCTCAGCTCAGCCATGATGTCACACCCGTCTACACTGCCCAATGTGGATCGCTGACCCTGGCCCAGGCCACAGAGCCAGGATTCAGGTCAGGCCCCGCCCACACCTGCCATCCCCGCTCCTCACCTGGCGGACGCCGGCGACGCCTACCAAGTCCGGGGTGAGGCACAGTGTGACTGGGGGCGTGGGGGGAGAGCATAGAAATGGCAGAGCCCCCCGGCCCTTTCCCCAGGGCTGCCGGAGGGACGCAGGGCAGGGGGGAGGGACCCCAGCTCCCCACCCCTTCCCTCAGCCCCTCCCCAGTCGCGGGTGGCCACTCCGGGGCAGGCGGCCGAGACCCCCGCCCGCTCCCTGGCGCTGGGGGCCTGAGTGCCGAGGCGTCTCTGTTCTTCCCACAGAGCCTTAAAAATAGGGCCGAGTGACGTCCGTCCGCGCAGACCACAGCCCGCGCCCCGAGCTAAGAATATTCCTGAACCTCTTAATAATTCAAGTCAGACCCAAATAGATCTGTGGGCTCACCTGTGGGCCCCCTGCCCCTCCCGCCCCGCGCCAACAGGGCCGGAGGAGCTGGGTGGCCTGGCCTCGGCCTCATCAGGCCCCCTGGGCGCTGCCCAACCAGCCGGGACCCCAGCCTGTCCTCCCCCCACCGTGGCAGCTTCCAACAGCACAGGACCCAGGGCGGGAGGGGCCCTGCCTGAACAACCTGGAGCCCCGCCCGCTCCTGGTGCCCCAACCCCACCTCCTCGGGAAAGCCCAGACGTCCTGCCTCCTGCTCAGAGGCCCCGAGGCCTTGGCCTGGGGCTCTGTGTCCTGCAGCACAGGCGCTGGGGCCAGGCCATGTCCTCTGGGCACCTGTGTGTGCGCCTCGGGCCCTCAGTGGCACTGCCCGGGCCTTTGAGGCGGCAGGCAGTGTGTGGCTGGAGCCCCCAGGCCCGGCCCCTCCCCGCAGGGGCGGGGCCCCAGTGCGCGCACCCCTCAGGTAAGGCGCCGGGGGCTCCCAGGCAACGCGGGGGGTGGGGGTGGGGAGCAGGGGTCCCAGCAGCCCCTGCAGCAGTGCCCCGAGCAGGCCCTGCATGGACTTTTACCGAATTATTAATTAAAGGCAAAGGCGGGGCGGCGCTGACAGCCAAATGAATCGCACGCGGGGTAATTAGGCGAGGTGTCGGGAGATGATGGAGCGCGGGCCGCTATCCCCGGCTCACCTCCCGGGAAGCAGGAGCGCCTTCTCCCGGTGCCCGCAGCGTGGGCGGCGGCGGCGGCGGCGGCTGCAGCGGGGGCGGGGGCAGGGACAGGAGCGCTGCAGGGGCCACCCCACCCCCTGCTGCGCAGGCTCTGGACCCCTCCCCTTCCCTCCCGCGAGGGGATTCGATGGGGCAGGGGCAGAGGCGGGTGGGAGGCAGAGGGAGGGAGCAGGGGGGTCCGCACAGGTAGGGGAACAACTCAGGACCCGCCATGGGGGGCGGGGTGCAAGGGGGGGACTCCAGGCAGAGAGGCCGCAGCCCCGGGCCCTTCCCAGACCTGCAGGCTTCGGTTTTTCATTACTTGCTGCCCTGTATCAAAGCCGCAGGTGTCCAGGCTGGGAGTGGTCACGTGACCTCGGGCAGCCCCGCCCTCGCGGGGGGCCCAGGGCAGTGGTGGCCGCAGAGGCGAGGCCTGATGCTCTGGGCTTGTGCTCGCACACCTGGCCCACACGTGCGCGCGCTCATGCTCTGGTCACCGTTGAATCAGACCTGTGTGTGTCCCCAGCGCCTCGCACACACGCGTCCCCGCCGAACAATGAATTCTCCCCCCACTTCTTTGCTGGTGCGACCGCTCGCTTTTCCTGAACTCAGTAACGGCCTCGTTTTGTTTACCTGCGTGTTGCTTACTTACTCATCCTGGCGCTGAGCACTGGGGGGTGATCTGCTGTAAGAGTAGGAGCCGCAGGCCCCGCCCCGGACCCTCTGAGCTCAGCCTCCGCCCACCTCCGTGAACTTGTGCAGTCGCCCTGGGTGCAGGACCAGGAGGGTCAGGGTGGCCGGTGGGCCACAGCAGCGGGCCGTGTCACTTCTGGGGCCAGGCCATAGCATATTGGGGGGGCGGTGCTCCCTCTCTTTCCCAACCCACTCCCCCCATAGGGAAGTCAGCTGTGCCATGGCATAGGCGCTCAGAGACGGGACCACATGCCAGGACCAGAAGCCTCCTGCCGTGAGCCGTGCCCCACTCAAGCCTCCAGAAGCCCGCAGCCCCGGCCGTCACCTTGTTGGCAGCTCACGAGACCCCGAGTCAGAACCACTGGGCCGGTCTGCGTCCAGACCCCCCCCACCCCACCCACCCCACCCACCGCAGAGCCTGGGCAAGACAGCGCATCTTCATTCGGGGGTAATTTGCTATGAAGCCACAGATCGCTGGCTGCGGCACTCCTGGACTCCGGTCTGGGTTGCCCGGTACACCTGCCGCCGCCTCTATCCCCAGGGTCTCTCCTTCACCCTGGGAGTCTCCGGCTCCTGTACTGAAGCCCCCTCCTTTGCGGGCCCATGCTCGCCTGCCTGCTTTAACCAAGGGCTTCCAGAGAGAACTAGAAGTCAGCGCTCCCAGCAGGAAGATCAGGGAAACTGGTGATTTTTTTTAACTGCCCACGAGAGTCCTTGTCTCGGTTTTTTGTTTTGTTTTAGTTTCTAAGGCGCACAGACACCATGCTCTGAGCCGTCAGGTGTCCACGAGTGACTCCCAGCTGCCCAGGGATCCGCCTGTTCCTCCTGGGAGAGCGCGAATGTGGGAGGTGGCTGCCGCTGTCCTCGGTGCTGAAGCCAAGGCTGGTGGGCCTCGGCCTGCGGGTCCCAAGGCGGCCGTGGGAGACCCTCCAGCCTCTCTCCACCTCTGCCTGCTCCCTGACTCAGCCTGGGGTGTGGAGCCAGGAGACCCCGAGGGACGGCCACCAGGCCTTCCTCAAGACCACCCCCTCCAGCCCTGCTCCTGGTGCTGGCCCTCTCCCCAGAGGGCTCTGCAGATGGCATGAGCCTGGGTAGCAGTGTGCAGGTCTGAGATCTCTCCAGGTTACACACGCAGGAACCAACTCCAAGCAAAAGCGAGGCCCTGTGAGTTCACCCCAGGGCGGAGCTGGCCCTCCGCGGCCCGCCACATGGAGTGGCTGACCCTCTACCAGGCCTGTCCCTGGTGTGGGCTCCGTGGCTGCATTCCCAGGGTCACTTGCTCTCGCACTCAAGCCCACCTTGGCCAGCTGGTTTGAGTCACAGGCCTTCCCCGAGTGTCACCGGGGCCTCCGCCCCCTGGTGGGAGGGGTCTCAGTGGAAACTCCAAGCACTCCCTAGAAGAAGGTGCACCTGTCTGGGGAAACTGAGGCTGGGGGCCTTCTGCAGAAGGGGGAGTGTCGCCAGGGCTCCAGGGGGGTGGTCTCTTCCCACCAGCG